ACTAACTGCAACTGAAAACGTCACTTTTGCAGGTTTTGTGCGAGTTTCTTTTAAACACTAACATATATAGGCAGGCCCAAAGATTAACACTACATGGAGTCACTTTTGAAACTTCTAAATCTCACTTTCTGTTGCTGTTCTGTATCATTTTCACTTCAGAGTAAAGGAAGTAGAAGGTGTATCTTTTGAATAGTCTCTCAATCAACCAGGTGAGGGCAGCAGTCTACCAAACACAGCTGTGATCATAGCTTAAACTTCATGAGGAGCTTAGACTGTTCGGTTTCGTTACATTACATGAGCTTGCCCGATTCTTTGTGGTGTTGCTAGTAGAATAGGCTTTATAGACCCTTCACACAACAAGTCCTTAGCAAAACAGCTGCCACTGCATGCTACGACTGCTGCATGTATAATCTGATCAAAACCAAAAAAATAAAAGCTTGTTCATGCTTTTAAACCATCATGTGGTCTTAACAATGTGGTGAAACCAAATCCGCTTGCCTCTTGATCATCCTCTTTACCTAGAGTCTGGTTGTGTCAACATGCAGGCACACTCAAGAGGAAAATATAATCGAAGAGTGAAAGGCTTTCTGTACTGAATGCTGGGTGTGGCTCAGACAGGTTCTAAACCGCTGCAAGGAATCCTGCTCGTGTTGCTACAAGAGCTTCACAGCTAACCTGACACTCAGCTGTCTTTCGTGTCCCTGGAGTCAATAACACGGCGTGTAATCAAAACAGACATTCCTGGTTGTCCTTATCAAGTCAAGGCCAAACACACGAGTCAACACTGACACATACAGGGGGGGAAAAAGCGACCATGAGCAATGGCGGAGGGTTTCGTTTTTCTCAAGCATCTGTCCACGTTTACGGGAATTATAATTCATAGAGTTTAAGAGATTTAGCAAGTCAACTCAGATACGTTTCTCAGTATGAGAAGACGACAAAGCAATAACAATAGTAACACTTACTCATTGGCACAGGCATACACGAGAAAATACGTGATGCATGATGTCATTGTAAGATCTAGTCAGAATTAAGCCACAGCTTCAGAAAAAAAAGAAGTAGGCGTGTAGCTCTAAGGTATAAACATACACCAACAGGTAACTGCATCTTTGCTTTTACAGCGCACTGAACTTTCAAGTAAGGTAATCATATGCAGAGGAAAATTTGGGGAAGTTAAAATGATGAAGCTCTAGTCAGACAATGATCCTCGGGCGGGAGGGTAAAGGGATTTTGTTTCATCAGTTGAACAGGATTCCACTGCCACACTTCTCATTTTCCACTGTGCTGAAGTATTACTTGCTTCTGCACTGATCCTGTTTCCTGGATGATAATCAGCATCGCAGCGGTGCCTGTTGATCTTCTGTTTTTCTCAGGCTGTGTATTTTAATGCTAGTGTTGCTGTACATCACAATGCACAATAATCTGGAACAAAAAGCCGAGTTGTAGTAGTGCCGATATGAGCTCCTTACCACAGCGGTCCCTGATGACCAAGTTGCGTCCTTCCTTTAAGTTAACGGTGAGCAGGTAGGACCTCTGGGAATCTCTGGCACTCTCAGACATGTTCACAGCCTCATTCTCCATCTCATACTGAACAGAAAAACAAGATTATTACTTTACTACTAGTAGTATTACCAAAGTGCCCCATCTACTTCCGCACAAACTGGGCAGCTTTTTAATCAGGAAGTATCTGATCAGAAAACAGTTTTTTGCCTTTATAATGGGTCGCTGCACCATTAATATTTAAACTTCAAATTTATTACCAGTAATGCTATTAACCACAGTATAATAGCTCCACCCCTATTTATGTGAAGAATAACTTGGAAATGTTTGAATTTTTAATCTTTAACAACAAAATTATCACAGGACTTCTTTCATTTTACTTTCATGCACTGATTTTAAGTCAGACTGTTGTTCACGTGCAGGAATTTGACGAGACTTCCTAATTCTTTACTGTTTGGGTTGTATTATTTTTGTCACATTTATACAACTTTAATTTAAAAAAAACAAAAAAACAAAGTATACTCACTTACAGGTTTTAAGAGATTGTATTCTGTGCAGTTTTATGTTTCTCGTCTAGGCAGTGGATTATTTAATCACTATTAAGCCTCTCCAGCAAGCCATGAATCTTTCACCGAATAAACCCCAGTACCCTGGAATCACCCCAGCTCAGCTTCCTAACCCTGACTGGCTACAAAAGATGGACAACACACACTGGATGCTGAACAACAAATAGACTACTGTTCTATCTCATTCTAAACAGAGCACAATAATCTGGAATTAAACTTTGATATAAGCACGCGCCGGCCAAAGACCCACACTGCTGTTGGCATAATGCTGAAAACCACCAGCATAGACACATGAAAGGGACAATCTGTTGCAAAATTCTACAACCACAAAGATAAAACTGTCAGACGCAACCCTTTTCTCCTGTCGTGCCTAAAGCTGATTTGCATATTAACCAGTCAACAACAAAAATCATCTTACAAACTACAAATTAGACAGTAGCACTTACATTTTGGTGGTCCCCTTCCTTTATGTGACTGCTGTAATCGTTATCATACTGCAGAGACAAAGATGAATTTTTTTTAAACCATGTGACACATGACAAAGACTTTCAAAACATGTAAAATTCCTGTTGATGAAAAAGCGTCACTCAGCTAAAGCTAAAGGCTCAGAACTGCCCTCTCCTTGGTATTTCTACCACCAGCACAAATCCTCTGAGCATTTATTAAAAATTCCTGTGTCCTGGGGACTGAACAGAGGTAACCCAAAAAACATCTACTAGGCAATTTCCACTTTTCCCCCCTAATTTGCTTCTCTTCTTTGGGTTTCAGTGTTTACCTAACATAAGGTATTTTGCCATACATACCACTCCTTTCTTTATGAATTCAAATATAGATTGCTGTATTCAGATGTATTCATTATAGTTTCTATACAATTAAAGATAATCTCCCAGAGGTTTTTTTGTCTATGGACTATTTATACAGCTATGAGGAAGTGTTCAGTTGACAACAACAGTTACACAATGGGAGATAAGAAGAATTAAAATAAAAAGCACTTTACTATTCTTGATATTCTTTGATGAGGTTTTAAAACCACCCTGGGGGCCCTGAGAAAACATAAACTGTTAGTTTTCACACTGTGCATTGTTGCTTTCACCAAATTCAAAACAGTTTTTTTTGACTGATCTGAAACCTCAGTGATGATGAAAGTAAGATGACTAAGAAAGACAGCGGGTCTCTCATTTCTGCTATTTTTCTTATATTAGTTTTCTTACATCAGATCCTGATCCAGATACAGGTAGACCTTAGCTGTTGATCATATCCAGCCAAAACCCACCTCTGGTAAAACTTAATGCAAATCCATTTATAACCAGCAGACGTAGAAATAAATGTGCTAGTTGAAATATGGGCTTTGTAATATGCTAATATCAGCATTCAAGGCTGCATTAGCCTTGAATGCTAATGCCAGTTGAGGTTTAAACACAAAAAAGCACAGATTTCTTAATGTTTCTTATGTGCTGTTATTCATTTACGCTTACACCTGACTCAGATCTCAATCAGCTAGTTGTTTTGTTGTGGTGTATCAACCAGGTGTTGCAAAAAGGGAGGTTGCAGAGCACCCTCTGATGGACAAACTATGCAACAGCCACTCTCATAATGTAGTTGAAGGGTGTTTCTTCCATCTCAATTAATTCCATCTTGAATTAATCAGTTAATAATCAGTTCTTATATTTTCTCACACAACAGGCCACCAAATGGCTAATATCAGCAGATAATATCTGCCTGCTGAGAAAATGGTCAGGTTATAAAAATCAGCATCCTGTGCTGCAAACTACAAAGCGTAAAGATTCGAAATCAAAATCCCACTGGAGGAAACGACAAATATCACCTCAGTTAATCAGATAAATTTAAAGAGCATCTATAAAAAACAAAAATCAAAACAAAACACTGATATGTTACTACAACACCGACAGGAAGATGAAACATTTTATGGGGTGATGATTTTTTTTAGGTCATTTCCTGTTACTTACTTAAAAGTTTCACAACATGTTGATAACACATTATTCAAAGATTACCATACCAAACTGCAACTTCTTTTTATCAAAAGAATGTTATGTCCTGCTGCCCTCTCTAACCACACTTGTCTAAACCACTGATAGTGAAACCAGGAAGAAAGTATATGTGGCACTATTAAAAGAAAAAAAAATCTTTTCAAAATCAAGTTCAGTATGAGTCGCAGCTTAGTGGAAAGAAGTCAAAATGAACATGATTCACAATGAAACTTTACTTTATTTGTTGCTTAAACCATTGAATAAAAAGGTATTTAGTAGCCTATGAACTTCTACAAGAGTAATTCATTTAGCCTGTGTAGCAAGCAAGCCTGTCAAAGCTGTGAAAAGAGGCTATGACTTCCTAGTTGTCTGGGTTGTCCTCTGCATGTCAACAAGAACTACAGCATTTATCTGCTTGCACATTGGTGTCCACTTTGCATGACAAAGAAAATAAAGCCAAGGCTACGCCCAATGTTATTGTTCAAATGAAAATTAAACTTTCGGAATTTCAAGTCAGCTTGCATTTGTGCGTCATGTCACTAAAGCATGCAGTCTACACAAAACCTGTTGAAAGTCATTCTAA